CTGATACTTTGTTGGCTACCATCATGAGCAGTTCCTCGCAGACTGTCTTTTAGTCTTAGGGTGAGTCGATAGGTGGGAACAGTCCAACGCAGCTTCTGCAGACTCTGTTACACTTGGTGGTTGTGGGAAGGGGCATGTTGGTATGGCAGCGCACTCCTTCGCGGTCTTCACCTGCCTTCCGCTTTTTATTGTTGGCAAATCTCGAGGTGCTCGAAACATTCCTAGATGCTCCTCCTCCATTTTGGCTGGTCTTGAGCTAGTGATTCCTAGATGTTGGTAGGTGTTCTGTACTTGGTCAGTGATGCTTTGGGGCTTGCCTGCCATTTCAGAGCTGGGATTAGAGCACCTGCTTAGGGAGGCTTGTATCAGTCATGCGGGGTTGCTGGTGTCAGATGTTGGGGATATCGGCCTGATCAAGGATGGTGGTGTTAGTGTGTCTTTCTTCTCTGCAGATTTACAGGATTTTGCGCAGGCAGTGTTGGTGGTACTTCTCCAGGGCCTTGAGGTGTCTGCCGTAGACAGCCCATGCCTCAGAGCTACATATCTGCAGTATTGGAAGTGGCCAACAATCTCCAAAGCCTTCCTGCAAATCTTGATGATCGCGGGGTTTGCTCTACAATGCTGGGCCAGGTTGAGGAGGCCCTTCACCCTGCAGATGTTTAAAGGCGAGATCCATGCTCTCACGTGCCTCCGATAAGGTGTTGACAATGGTCTGGACTTTGTCCTGAGTTTGCATATATGCAAGCATTATCCTCACACTGCAACTTGATGACACTGGTTAGGTCAATTTTGTTAGCTATAAATAAATTACTACTGGGACAGACAGACCTCTGTAGTCAGGGAATCAAAGGATAAAAAAACGAGACAATAAGAAAGAACTGGAGTTCAAGCCTGACTGTGCTACACCATGGTTATGTCAAACAGGAGAACAGGCAAGACCATACATTGATTCATTTGCAAAAAAAAAAAAAATGGTGCATAAAGGATTGGCAGAGTAAAATCAGGAGAACAGGAAGCAACTGGTCAGAGGGACATTAAAGGAGAAATACAGCAAAATTAATTCAGGGTTAAAGTCATACTGCTGTACAGCATGGAAATAGACCCTTCCGTCCAACTTGTCCATGCTGACCAGATATCCTAAATAAATCTAGTCCCATTTGCCAGCATTTGGCCCATATCTCTCTAAACCCTTTCTATTCATATACCCATCCAGATGCCTTTTAAACGTTGCCAGTGGACCAGCCTTCACTACTTTCTCTGGCAGCTCATTCCATACATGCGTCACCATCTACGTCAAAAAGTCACTCCTTGGAACCTTTTTAAAATCTTTCCCCTCTCACCTTAAACCTATGTCCTCTAGTTCTGGGGTCCCCCACCCCAGAGGAAATCCCTTGGCTATTCACCCTATCCATGCCCCTCATGATTTTATAAACCTCTATAAAGGTCACCCCTCAGCCTCTGACATTCCAGGGAAAATCGTCCCAGACTTTTCAGCTCTCCCTATAGCCCAAACCCTCCAACCCTGGCAACATCCTTGTAAATCTTTTCTGAGACCTTTCAGGTTTCACAACATCCTTCCAACAGCAGGGAAACCAGAATTGCATGCAGTGGCCTAACTATCCTATACAGCTGTAACATGATCTCCCAACTCCTACACTCAATGCACTGACCAATAAAAGGCAAGCATATCACTATCTTGTCTACCTGTGACTTCACTTTCAAGGAACTATGAACCTGTACTCCCAAGGTCCCTTTTGTACAGCAACACTCACCAGGATCTTACCATCAAGTATACAAGTCCTGCCCTGACCTGCCTTTTCAAAATGCAGCACCTTACATTTATCTAAATTAAACTCCATGTGCGACTCCTCAGCCTATTGGCCCATCCGATCAAGATCCTGTTCAGATGTAACCTTCTTCGCTGTCTACTACACCGCCAATTTTTGTGTCATCTGCAAACATACTAACCGTACCTCTTATGTTCACATCCAAATCATTTATAAAATTACATAAAGCAACTGATCCAGCACTGATCCTCATGGCACTCTGCTGGTCACAGGCCTCCAGTCTGAAGAGCAACCCTCTACCATCATGCCAGTTCAGTATCGAAATAGCTAGTTCTTCCTGTATTCCATGCGAGCTAACCTTGCTAACCAGGTGTACCATGCAGAACCTTGAATGTTTTACTGAAGTGCATATAAATCACATCCACCGCTCTGCCCTCAACCCTCTTTGTTACTTCAAGAATCTCAAATCAAGTTAGTGAGACATGATTTCCCATGCACAAAGCCATGTTGCCTATCCCTAATCAGTCCTTGCCTTTCCAAATACATGTAAATCCTATCGGTCAGGATTCCCTCCAACAATTTGCCCACCACTGATGTCAGGCTCACCGGTCTATAGTTCCGTGGCTTTTCCTTACCATCTTAAATCGTGGCACTACTTTAGCCAATGTCCCGTCTTCCAGCACCTCACTTGTAGCTATCGATGATACAAGTATCTTAGCAAAGGGCGCAGCAATCACTTCCCTCAAAGTTTAGGGTACACCTGATCAGCTCCCAGGGATTTATCCACCTTTATGCCTTTTAAGACATTTGACACCACCACCTCCTCTGTTCTATGGACATTTAAAGATGTCGCTATTTATTTCCCCAATCTCTATCTTCCATATCCTTCTACACAGTAAACTCGTTAGAAAAACACTCATTTAGTATCTCCCCCATCTCCTGCAGTTCCACACATAGGCGGCCTTGCTGATCTTTAAGGGGCCCTATTCTCTGCCTTGTTACTCTTTTGTCCTTAACATATTTGTAGAATCCCTTTGGATTCTCCTTTACCGCATTTGCCAAAGCCATCTCATGTCCCCCTTCTGCCCTCCTGATTTCCCTCAAGTATATTCCTGCTGCCTTTATACTCTTCTAGGGATTCACTCAATCCCTGCTGTCTACACCTGACATATGCTTCTTTTTCTTGACCAAAACTTCAATTTCTCTCGTCACCTTGACTCGTTATCTAATTTTTGAAGGCTTCCCATTTTCCAGCCGTCCTTTTACCTAAAAACATCCACCCCAATCAACTTTTGGGAGTTCTTGGCTACTACTGTCAAAATTGGCCTTCCTCCAATTTACAATTTAACTTTTAGCCTCAGTCTATCCTTTTCCATCACTATTTTAAAACTAGTAGAATTATGGTCACTGGCCCCAAAGTGCTCCCCGCATGACACCTCGGTCACTGCCTTATTTCCCCAAGAGTACGTCAAGTTTTGCATCTTCTCTAGTAGCTGCATCCACATACGGAATCAGAAAATGATCTTGTACACATTTAAATTCCTCTCCATCCAAACCCTTAACACTTGGACATTCCCAGTCTATGTTATTATAAGTGCAAGCTAGTAAACATACGGATTAAGACTGATGAGCTGGAAATACAAACAGTAACACTGGTATTTGTTACGGCAATAATGGAGACCTGGCTCCAAAAAAAAGACAAACAGCAAGAATGTGTTTGTGCACAGAATGTGGGTGCTTTTGGCTCAGCCAACATTTGTTGCCCAGAATCAACCACAGAAGGAGTGTGGAGTCACATGCAGGACAGGCCAAGTCAAAAACAGAAGAATTCCTTTATTAACAAACCAGATGGGGCTTTATAACAATCAGCAAACGTTACATGGTTGCCACTGAGCGAGCTTTTAATTCCAGACTTTTACGGAATTCAAATGTCAGCATGTGCCATGGTGGGATTTGAACCGGAGTTGCACAGAACTGTAGGGCTTGTGAATAAACTTTACAATGCATGTAAAGGTTTCTTGTATTGGTGCCTTGACTTCAAAATAAAATTAGAGATTCATCAGAACACTAAACTAAGGCTCTAGATAACCAGTGAAACTACCGTACACCTCAGTGGTTAGCACCGCTGCCTCACAGCGCTAGCAACCCGGGTTCGATTCCACCCTCGGGCGACTGTCTGTGTGGAGTTTGCACGTTCTCCCAGTGTCTGTGGGGATTTCATCCAGGTGCTCCGGTTTCCTCCCACAGTCCAAAGATGTGCAGGTTAGGTAGATTGGCCATGCTCAATTGCCCATAATGTTCAGGGATGTGTAGATTAGGTGGGTTACGGGGGGTGGGGGGTGGGTCTGGGTGGAGTGCTCAGAGGGTCGGTTTGGATTTGTTGAGCCAAAGGGCCTGTTCCCACACTGTAGGGATTCTATGACCTCTCTGCTGCCCCATATACTAAAGTACTAACTGTCCCTGGACGCAAGGTGTTGACCAAGATAAAAAAAGAGGTTGCACTGCAGTTTTAATTGAACAGAGTAAATTATTAGCAAGGGCCTCTCTGTTTTTATGGGGAGGAGACAGGAGGGGTAGAGAGCAGTTAGTGATGCACTAGTCTTCCATATAACCTAATGTTCAACTCAAGCAGCACTTTTGAATGATCATGAAATTGAATAGTACAACATTCACTTCTGTTTAATATCAAATGAAATTGTGTTACTTTATCTGCCCCCAGGCCATGTGGCTAATTATGCAAAATGTCTTTATTAGTGAATTTTAAAAATACTGACAACCTCATTGTTGGGCCTGTGAATCATGTTAATTTAACACTACGTGAAGATTTTTTGAATCGTTAGGGGCATTGACAGCAAAATAAAATTAGAGATTCCCCATGTTGAGAATTTACCACTTTTTTGGGTGAATAGCAGTAGTTAATATCTTCTAGTAAAATTGGTACATCTATTTAAGATCATTCACCATAATCATATCTGTGGCTAGACAGCAATTTTTATTATGCACTGTTACAGATGATTTCCTGTTATATTAGAACAGAGCTTGTAAACCCAAACTCTGCTCTTCTGTGGCACACAATCATTTCTAAACATAATGGACAGTCCAGGTTCATTTTCTCCCCCATACGCTGTTAGCTGAGGACGGCATTCTTGGCAATCCACTAAGATAGCTGTGCATAAATAACTACTTTGACTGAAATTTGGAAAATGGGCTTACATCATCATCGTCATCTTCAATAGCTTCTCCTGTGAAGTACAACACTGCCCGTGGAATGATGCGTTCATGCAAGAAATGACCAATTTCAAAGTCAGCAGCAAGTATTGCCTCTGAATCTTCGTCCTACAATGAGAGAAATTAAAAACCTCAAATTTTCAATAGTCCAACAGTAATGCTAATTTAATCAGATATACAAATTAGGAGCAGACCATTCAAGCTGACTATAGCCGATATGAGTAACCTCAAATCCACTTTCCAACCGACCCTGATACCCTCTGAAATAATTTTTGTCTCTATCTGGATTTAAACAGGCTCCGATTTTTAAAATCCTGGATTTGGATTCTCCCAGAAGTGGAATCACCCTCCGTCAAGACACTAGGTTGTGTGTTTCAACAGTCACCTCTTATTCTTCAGCAGACATAAGCCTAGTCTATTCAATAAGACAATATCCCCATGCCAGGTATTAGTCTAGCAAAGCTTCTTGAACTACCGCCAATGCACTTTCATCCTTCCTTAAATGGAGGTGGCCAATACAGAGTATTCCAAATATAATTTCACTAGCATCCTGTACACCTTAAGCATAACCTCTAATTTTGTACTCAATTCCCTTTGTGGTAAGTGATAACAATTTAAAAAGCTTTTCTCATTTCCTGCAATTACATATAACCTTCTGAGATTCACGCAGGATGGCATCCAGATCCCTCTGCACCTGAGCTCTGCAACCTCTCCATTTAAATAATATGCTTTTTATTCTGCCTATCAAACAGGACTATTCCACTTTTTTTGCAATGTACTCCACATTATTACACAATTTCCCATACCATTTTGTAGTTTCTTTACGACCCCCTCAGAACTTGCTTTCCCACCCATTTTTGTCATCACAAAACGTTAACTTTTATTCCTCAAGGTGAGACAACAATTTAAGAATGTACTCCCTTAAGAATTTTAAATCAATTCAACCAAACCACTTTTCCATTAAATGCCTTACTGTTGTGCAAGGTCTCATTCTGAGTCATTGCCTCAAAACTGGGTTATCTAGTAATCAATTAGCCCCATATAACAAAAGATAAGTATTAAGAAATCCACATTGTCAAAAAGCAATTATACACAACACAATCTTCTACCTGAAGTTACAATATGTTAAAAAATGAAAGATGGCAACTATGCTACTGTAAGTCAACTTACCAGCTCTCCATTCTCTGGAACTGCAAAAGGAGAAGAAAGCAAATTAGAAATTTTACAAAACATTCAAAGATATTCAAATCATTTCAACTCTACTCGTACTTACCTTCAGGGGGTGAAAAGAAATTGAAGAAAGAGTCATTTGGGACAGTCTTTGTAACAGTTCTAACAGTGCCACGACCCTTATGCTTCTGTTTCTTTTTAATGGTTTTCATTGTGATGTTCTTTCCCTTCTTCCAGTCAATCTGGCATCTGAATTGTAAGTTGCAGAAATGTAAAAAAGCATTCTCTATAGTATGCTTTGAAACCAAACATTACAGATGTAAAAATCTACTGCAGTAGGAAAGAAACAGACTTTTTATGTCATTCTTCAATATTGCTGTCAACATTAGGTAGTTCAGGCTACTACCCATGCTCCTTGGCAAATATTGCATATTACTTGCTAGAACATCAAACTGTCTGCTTATTCACTTCATTTAAAATACAACTTTTAATCAGTGATGGGTTGCAACTCAAAACCTAGTGGATAAAGTGAACAATTTTCAACTCTGGGGAAGATGACAAAATGGTGACATCAACAAGCTGACAATCCAGAGGGCCAGGCTACTGGTCAGGTACAGGTTCAAATTCACTGAGCAGCTGATGAAATTTAAATTTAATGAAATAGTCCCCAAGCAGAGAAAATATCCTCACTGCATCTAGTCTGTCAAGCTCTATTAGATTTCTATACATTTCAATCAGATCCCTCCCCTCCATCCTTCTAAACTCTAGTGAACACAGGCCCAGGCAAACCAACCTCTCCTCAAATACAAATCCTGTCACCTCCAGTCACAGCCGAGTGAAACTCCAGTGACAAATATATCATTTTTGAGGGAGGAAGACCAAACTGCATGCAATACTCCAGGTGTGGTCACACTAAGGCTCTGTATTAGACCATGGGATATAGGAACAGAATGAGGCCATTTGACCCATCATGTCTACTCCACTATTCTATCAAGGCCAAGACATTTCTCAACCTCATTCTCCTGCTCATAACCCGCAATCCCCTTACTAATCAAGAACCCCTCTCTGTCTTAAAACACACAAGGACTTGGCCTCCACAGCCCTCCTGCAATTAGTTCCACAGATTCACCACTCTCTGGCTGAAGAAATTCCTCATCCCCATTCTAAACAGTCATTCCTTCATTTGGAGGCTGTGTTCTCTGGTTCTAGTCTCTTCTACTACTGGAAACATCTTCACATCCACTTGATCCAGGCCCCTCAGTATTCGTAAAGTTTCAATGAGATCCCTTGCCATTCTTCTAAACTCTATCTAGTACTCACCCAGAGTCTTCAACCACTACTCATGTGACAAGCCCTGCACCTCCAGGATCATTCTTGTAAACCTCCTCTGGACCACCTCCAATGCCAGCACATCCTCGTTCTTTAGATACAAGGGCCAAAACTACTCAATATTCCAAATGTGGTCACACCAAAATCTTATACAGCCTCAGTAATACACCTTTGCTCTTGCATTCTAGCTCCTTTGAAATGAATGCTAACAATGCATTTGCCTTCCTAACTGCCAAGTGAACCTGCATGTTAACTTTAAGAGAATCCTGAACTAGGATTCCCAAGTTCCTTTGTGCTTCAGAAATCTGTAGCGTTTTCCTATTTACCCTCTATCACCCAAGTGCATAACCTCTCATTTTCCTACATTGTATTCCAACTGACACTTCTTGCCCACTCTCCTAGACTGTCCAAATTCTTCTGCAGCCGCCCTGCTTCCTCAGCACTACCTATCTATAGTAGCCTACAGAACAGAGGAGCAGACTCAATGGGCCAAATGGCCTAAATCTGCTCCTGTAAAAGTTATGGCCCCTCCACCTATAACTGCATTAAGACATCCCCAAATCTGAACTCAAATGCTCTTGCAATGAAGAGCAACATAGCATTGTTGCACTTGTCTAATTTCATTAATTGGTACACCCAAATCCCAATATATCACCACTTAAATAGTCAGTTTTTCACACTAAGTGTACCACTTCATGTTTAGCTACGTTGTATTGCATCCATGTGTATGAGCATTTGCTTTGTCCCATCCTATGCTTTCTAAACATTGTTATCACATCTTTTACAATAGACTCCAACATATTCCCCAATACTGATGTTACGCTAACTGGTCTGTAATTCTTTTTTCATCTCCCTGGACCCCCTTCCCCCTTTAAATAATGGGGTTACATTTGCCACTTTCCAATCTGTAGGAACTGCTTCAGACTATGGAATTTTGGAAGATGACCAGTAATACATCCAGTATTGAGGCCATTTCCTAGGATACTCTGGGATGTAAATCAGACTGTGGGGATTTGCCAGCCTTTAACCCCATTAATTTCTCCAGCATCATTTTCTTACTCTGAATCATATGGCATGGAAACCGGCTCTTCAGCACAACTTGGCCATGCCAAACAGGTTTTCTAAAATGAACTAGTTCCATTTTCCTGTGTTTGGTCCATATCCCACTAAACCTTTCCTATGCATGTACTGGCCCAAATGCCTTTTAAGTGCTGTAACCGTTCCAGCGTCTACTACTTCCTCTGGCAGCTTGCACCATCCTCTGAAAAAGTTGCCCCTCAGGTCCATTTTAAAATGTTTCCTCTCTCACCTTAAACCTATGCCCTCTAGTTCTAGACTCCTCTATCCTTTCAATTCTGCATTTTTGCTAGACCCACTGTTCCCTAATATTTATGGGGAGATTATGTGTCCCCTCTTTGGTGAGCAAAGAACCAAAGTATGCTTTTAATTCTTCTGCCATTTCTTTGGCCTCCCATTATAATTACTCCTGGCTTTCAACTGTAAAGGATGTACATTTGTCTTTGCTAACCTTTTCTCTTCATATATACAGAGAAGCTTTTACAGTGTTTTTGTCCTCTACAATTTTACCCATACTTGAAATTTTCTTAGTTTTGACCAATCGTTTTGTTTCTTTTGCTGAATTCTAAATGCTCCCAATGCTCAGGCCTGCTACCATTTTTTCCTGGCAATTTTATATGTCGCCTGTTTAGGTTTAATTCTATCCCTAAATTATTTCTTAAGACATAGATGAGACATCTTCCTTTAATTTTTGCATCAAATAGGAACAAATAATTGTTGCAATTCATGCACGTTGCTTAGTGTAAAGTTCCCTAATCCATCCTTGCCAATTCACACCTTTCACCCTTGTAGCTCCCTTTATTTAGATTAAGGACCCCAGCTTTGGATTTAACTACTTCAACCTCTACCTTAGTGAAGGAGTTCTTTAATATTACAGCTCCTCTTCCCCAAAGGATGATGCATGGGTGAGGAAGAGAGAAGGCCAAGAGTTAGAACAATTCTGGGATTTTGAGATCGTGAAAAACTCATCTCAGTAATGGTCACCATGACAGTTTCACTGAGAGTTATAAAACCCGTCTTATTCACCAAGTGCCTGTTGGAGAAAAAAAAAACTACTTTCCTTACCCACTCAAGCCTGTAACTCCAGACCCAACAGCAGTAAGGTTGCCTATTAACTGTCCTCTAATTGCCACTGAGTTCAAGGGCAATTAGAGATAGGTATCAAATATCAGCCTGGCCAGTCTAAATTTCAAAAATTATTTCCACTAAAGAATTAATTCCATATTGGGGGTTGCTCAATTTTGCTGAATGAATGTTTAACGAGTGATGCAATAGTATGGGTTCATATCCTGCACCAGCTAAGGTTATTGTGAACGATTCTCCTTCTCAACCTCTATCCCTTGCCCGTTGCATGGTGACCCTCAGGTTAGACCACTAGTCATTTCTCCATAATGAGAACACACATCCGTATGGTGACTTCACCTTTTACCATTCTACATTAGGAACAAATGCAGACCTAAAGGATTACAACAGAAATAGATCAAAGTAGCAAGTTAGCCAATGACCGGTGACCCACTTTCCCCAGGCAGCACAGCCACTATGGTAGGAGGCAGAAAGCACATGAAGCAAATATATACCGATGATCACTTGTTAGAAAAACCAAACTTTACACTGTAAATAAAAATAAAGGTGCTGGAAAAGCTCAGGTCTGGCAGCATCTGTGAAACAAAAAAAAAACCAGAGTTAACATTTCGGGTCCAGTGACCCTTCCTCAGAAACTTTACACTGTAAAGTCAAGTGAGTTTCAGACTCCCACCACCATCAATAAGAAAACAATTCCTCATATCCTGCTCCTTCCCTTAAATCTATGCCTGGGTCACTGATCCCTCAATCAAGGACACAGTTTCTTCCTGTCTATGCTAATTTTAAAAAAAAATCATTTACATGCCATGGGCATTGTTGGCTGAGCCAGTACTTATTGCCCATCCCTAACTGTCTCGAATGCACTTAAACATCAACCCTATTGCTGTGGGTCTAGAGTCACATGTAGGCCAGACCAGGTAAGGAGGGTAGTTTCCTCCCCCAAAAGACATTACTGAACCTGATGTGTTTTACCCTACAATTGACAATCGTTTCATGGTCATCATTAGAATCTTGTTTCCAGGTTTTCTTTAAAAGTTGAGTTTAAAATCTTATTTATATCCCTTGATTTTATACATCACAATCATGCCCACCCCAGTCCCCTTTGCTCCAAGGAAAACAACCCCAGCCTGCCCAATCTTTCTTCATAACTCAAACACTCCAGCCCAGGCAACATTCTGGTAAATCTCCTCTGCATCCTCTCCAGTACAATTACATCCCTCCCATAATGCAGAATACAGAACTGCACACAATATTCTAACGTTAATCTAACCAACTTTTTATACAATTCCAACATAACACTAAGTGCTGAAACAGAATTTAACAGTGGGCAGGTCAAGGAAGGTGGTCCTTACTTTAACCCAGTGACGGTGAAAGATGGTGCTGCACTCAGAGGATAACACAGAGACGGTGCACCCGCATTTCTGCAGCCATTTCCCTATTATGTGAGGGAGGTTGTGGGTTTGAAAGGTGCTGCCAAAAGATGCTTGGAGAACTACTGCAGTGCATCTTGTAAATGGTACACACAGCTGCCTTTGTCCATCCGTGGAGGGCGGAGTGAATTTTGAGAGTGGTGGATATGGTGCCAACCAACAAACAGAAATCCAAAGATTCTTAGATAGCATCTTCTAAACCTATGACCATTCCTATCTAGACGGTGAATGGCTGCAGATAAGTGGGAACACCATCACCTGCAAGTTCCTCTCCAAGCCACTCCGTCCTGACTTGGAAATAAACTGCCGTTCCTTCAGCGTCACTAAGTAAAGATCCTGAAATCCGATCTTTAACAGTTGTGGGTTTACCCATACCAAATGGACTGCAGTGGTGAAAAAGGCAGCTGATAACTATCTGCTCAAGGGCAACTAAGGATAGCCAATGAATACCCTGCCAGCGACAGCCACATCCCACAAACTGAGGTCAGTTGGTTGGTTGGTTTTGAGCGAAGAGAGTGATGTCAACAGCATGGGTTCAATTCCCGCATTGGCCAATGTCACCATGAAAATCCTACCTTCTCAACCTGACTCTCGCCTGAGGCATGGTGACCCTTAGATTAACCAGTCATCACTCACTCACGAGAAAGCAGCACTATGATCCTCTGGACTATGCAACTTCACCTTTTTAATTTCTTTGCAATTAATGAATCATTCATTGCAGTGTTGATGTCCTGTTCCATCACTTAGGTGATGTTTGAGACTAGACTGAGAGCAGTCAGATTCAATTTGTATACATGGGCAAGTTTCTACATTGTTGGATAGATGTTGTAATGCTGGAACAGAGGCATGCCTAGTTCTGGAGCACAAGTCTTCAGTACTATTGACAGATGAGGAAGAATTTCTTTAGTCTTGTGAACCTGTGGAATTCTCTCCCACAGGGAAGCTGCTAGGACCAGTTCATGAGGTACATTCAAAAGGAAGCTGAGCACGGCCCTTGCAGCTAATAGGGTCAAGGGGTATGAAGAGCAAGTAGGAATGGGATACTGAGTTTACATGATCAGCTATGATCATATTGAATGGTGGAGCAGGCTCAAAGGGCCAAATGGCCCACTCCCACACCTATTTTCTATGAGATCTTCCGAGTTGTCACACCAATTTGTTTTTGTGAATGGATTCACTTTCTTCTATGAGTTAACAGCTGTTTTACCCATTTGAAACTTGCTGACGACAGAGTAATTTTGGGCTATTTTACTGTTTTGGACATGGGCCAAACTTGTGGTTAATGTGTGATACAATAAAGTTACACTTCTTCCTTCTCTTTGAATAAAGGGATTGTTTGTTTTTGAATATGTTATCACATTGTCATTTATAACTGCATTATAATCATGTAAAGGCTGAAACTTTGTTTTATTTTCTACTTTATTTTTGATTGCACAAAGGACTGAGGAAGGAATTGCTGTAGTTTAAAACCAAGTTAGTGAAAACCATCGTGAAATACGTTATCATGCTCAGCAAGCTTTAAACCCTCTAGGAAAGGTTCCAAAGCAAATAGGACATATAAAAGGCAAATGTCACAAATCAACAGAGTTTTGGCCAATCTCCATGTAATTTAAGCAGTGTAAATTGGCAGCCATGTAGCAAGGATGTGCTCAGAAGATGACATCCTCAGGGTCCGAATGCACAATAGCAACAAGCTCAAGTCAGAGGCCTTTCACCATATCAGAAGATTTGAGCCATGAAGAGTTACAAAGTGGACTCATTAGGAAATGAATATTCAACAAAGTTTGTTGAGTTAGATAGGAAGATAGGAACAGCTTTTTGCTTAAAAAGCCATGAAAAGTACACATATACATGATCATATGTATAGGGGTGAGTTGACAAGGTAACTATCAGGTTTAGAAGCAGAGATTGCCTTGGAAAGGCTATGACTTAATGTGAGTGGAATATAGAAGAAAGGAAGGGAGAGAGCAACATTGCAGTCAAGATCTCCTGCCTATACTGAAGATGAACAACAGTGAACTAGCTGTGTTGAGAAGCCAGGCTATCTGCTGTAATTCAGAGTACCACATTCACGTCCTCATTCTCTTACAAGTCTGAATTCAAACAGAGGTCTTGGGTTCCATCTAGTGTCCAAAGTCAGCCAGTGCAAGTAGACCAACCTCTCACTAAATGAAGACTGATCAATTTAACATTAATTACCATTAAAAGAAAATGTACCTTGGTTTTAAGTTATTTAATATGCTAATGCAAGAATTCAGCTACATATAAAGCAGTTAGCAATATTTCGATTAAGAGGGTACAGGACTGTGTTTTAATTTTCTTTGCAATGGAAGGTCTCACTCCAGTTTTAACAGATTCCTACAGAAAATTAAATGCTTCACTGATAGTAGCCCTGATTTTAAGTGAAGACACCTTATAACTATCCTATCTTTTGTTCCAATCCAAGTGGATGCTCAAAATTGATTAAAAGAAGTGCCAAAAGGTGTTGAACCTTTTCTGCTGTGTTTCACATATTCAGTCATACAGCGCAGAAAATGTCTTTTGGCCCATCAAGACTACACCAACAGAACTACCATTAAAGGCAAACTAATCCTAATTTCTGACATTTATACAATATTCTTGAATGTTATGATATTTCAAGTTCTTTCAAGTATTCTTTTAAAGGTTTAAGGTTTCAGCGTCCACTACCTACCCAGGCAGTGCTATCCAGATTCCCACTACCCGAGTAGGGAAAAAAAAATTAATTCCCCTACCCACAAATCTCCAGCCCCTTACCCTAAAATTTTGTCCCCTCATGATTGACCCCTCAACCAAGGAGAACAGGTGTTCCATACTCACCCTGTCCATACCCCTCAATCATGTCCCCCTCAGTCTTCTCTGCTCTAAACAGAGCAATCCAAGCCTATCTAGTCTCTCCTTAAAGCTCAATTTCTCCATCCAGGCAACATCTTGGTGAACCTCCTCCATATCCCGAGTGCTATCACATCCTTCCTGTAGTGAGGTGACCAAAACTACTCTAGCTGTGGCATGACCAACCCCAACATTATCTCCTTGCTCTCATACTCTATGCCACGACAGATGAAAGCAAGTATCCCCCACACGTCTTCCTAAATATCCTTTGGACGTGCTCTGGAGTCAGGAATCCGAATAATTTAACCCAATATCCCCAAGTTCCTGAGCTACCCAATGTCCTGCCTTTCATTAAATATTCCCTCATTTTGGAGTAGATTTGTAGCTCGGGTTGTGGGTGTTAAGGTTGGTTGGCTCGCCGAGCTAGTTTGTTGTTCCGCAGACGTTTCGTTACCACGCTGCGTAACATCATTACTGCAGCCTCCGATGAAGCATCAGTGTTTTCCCACCTGGTTTTTAAACTCGAGTCTGTTGAGCTAGATTGCCTCATTTCCGGTTTTCCTTCATAGTGGAGTGTATATGGGGTCGAGTTCTAGGTGTTTATTAATGGCTTTCTTTGTGGAGTGCCAGGCTTCTAGGAATTCCCGTGCCTGTCTCTGCTTAGCTTGTCCCAGGATTTTGGTGTTGTCCCAGTTGAATTGGTGGTTCTCCTTGTCCATGTGGATTGAGATGAGTGAGTATTGGTCGTGTCTTTTTGTTGGTGTTCATGTACTCTTGTTGTTAGTTTCCTTCCTGTTTGTCCGATGTAGTGTTTCTCAGTCTCTGCAGGGGATCTTGACTCCCTCATTTTATTTCTTCTTCCAAAGTGCATCACCTTGCACTTATCAAGGTTATATACCATTTGCCATTGGCCTGCCCATCTGACCAACCCATCTACATTTTCCTGCAACCTACAACTATCTTCTTCACTATTAGCCACCCTACCAATCTTGACACCCTTGCTTAATATTCCTCCAACATTTTCATCTCTCTCATTTATGTATATAACAAATAAGGGTCCCAGTACTGATCCTTATGGTACACCACTGGACACCAGCCTTCAGTCACTCAAACTGCCTTCTAGTACTATTCTTTGAACTGTTACTAAGCCAGTTTCTGATCCATCTCGCCAAGTTCCCCTCAATTCCACATCTTTTTCTTCTACGTGGGGCCTTGTCAAAAGCTTTGCTAAAAATCTATATAAACTACATCAACTGAATTACCATCCACACACGATCACATTTTTGTAAAATTCTAATGAATTTATTAGGGATGACTGCTCTCTGACAAAGCCATGCTAGCTATCCTTAATTAAACCACGCCTTTCCAAGTGAATATTAAGTTCTGAAGAAGAGAATTTCTCCAGTAGTTTCCTACTGCTGACAGACTCACTAGTCTGTAATTTCCTGGCTAATCTCTACCACCCATCTGAACAAGTGGAACCACAGTGGCTGTCCTCCAGTCCTCTGGCTCATCGTGTGGCCAGAGAGGAACCAAAAATTTGTCAGAGTCCCTGCAATTTCCTGGATCACTTCCTTCAGCGGGCTGGGACGCAATTCATCCATGCCAGGAGTTTGACAGTTTTTAAGTTTGTCAGAGCCTCCAATACCTCCTCATTTCTTATGTCAAACTGTGCACTTTCTTCACAATCCCTTTTCCTGAATTCAGTAGAACTCCATTCTTATTGTATTCATATCTTTGCATCTGGCTGAGGAAAAGAAGTCTGATAGCTCAGTACCCTTTCCACTGGAACAATTCTTCCAGGTTTTGAATTCAAGACAGCAAAGATGTATCAGCTACAACTTTTGTTAATCTTAACATATTTCACACAAGTTAAAAAGCCTGCTTACCCTGTGCATCCCATAATTTCTGGTCCATCAAAAGAGAAAGGGTCTGACTCATCAGGCTGTGACCTCATTTTGTACGTCTTTGTGAGTATTTCATTTGTGAAATATTCATTTGGCTCAAATTTAAATTCCAAAGTAAAACTCTAAAAAGAAAAACATACACAAGCAATAAGCCAAAACAGCATCAGTATGTTATTAACCAAAGATGACCATTTTAAATGGAAGCACTGCAATGTGGATGAAGCCAAGAGTTCCTGTGCACAACAAATCATTTTGGAATATACTCAAATTCCATTTAGCATCTCTGTGGAACACACAGTGTATTTCATTAAATGGCTTACAGCATTACAAGTTAGCATAAATACCTTTGTGCAGCGGGTTAAGAATTCTTTCAGCAAAAAACTTTTCTGACTGAAACAACTTAAGAGCATAATTTTTAGTTGTTTAGGGCTTTAGAACATGATTAAAGTTCTGAACAAAGTGGTATTATGCAATCCAGTGCTTAAAACAAATGAAGACCTGGGATATCTTTGAAATGCTCTGCACTGATGATTGAATGAACTGACTCAAACTTGCATAAATACCAGTGATATTAATTTAGCAGACGGAGATCAAGTTATGTGAAAGATCCATGCTGATCTCTTGAAATAAACTGCATTTAGTCATAACCACCCACAATACTGAAGCATTACTATAAACCATCCATTAACTCAGCTCTGTTGTACATTAATTCTTTGGTGTTCAGCAAGGGGAGATGCAGGTGGATGCAGATTCTACTTCCAACTATTGCACGATATGTGCAATACCAGCAAGATCAACTGGCAAAGTGACAGTGCAGATCCCGGTACCAAATGACGTTAAATGACTAATTCCTGGGATGGCAGGACAGATATGAAGACAGACTGGATGAGTCACAACTATACAGAGCTTAGAAGAATAAAAGGGAGATGTCACCGAAACCTACAACATTCTAACAGGACTAGACAGCATAAACATAGGAAGGATGTTCCTGACAACAGGCACCAGAACCAGGGATCACAGTTTAAGGGATAGTAGGAACTGCAGATGCTGGAGAATCTGAGGTAACAGGGAGGTAATCACAGTTTAAGGAAATGGTGTAGGCCATTTAGGATTGAGACAGGAGAAATTTCTGTACCCAGAATGGTGAATGTCTTTGAAATTCTCTGCCACAGAAAATGGTCCATGCTAAAACACGTTTTTAAGGACGTAGAGACACTTCTTAGGATTAAGGGATCAAAGGATACGGGGAAAAAACACGATCAGGGTACTGGATTACAATGATTAACCATGATCATGCTGAATGGCAGAGCAGGCTTGAAGGGCAGAATGACCTGCTCCTATTTTGTGTGTTTCTGGTCAATGTCAACACTCAATGTTGATACTAAGGGAGTCAGTGATGGTAACACCATTGAATGTCAAGGGGCGGCAGCTAGATATCTTTTATTGGAGATAGTCAATGCCTGGCATGTGTGGCTTGAATGTTTCTTGCCCATCTTGAACATCCCCACTTCTGACATTGTGATGGAGGGAAGGCCATTGATGAAGCAGATCAAAATGGGGAGACACTTTGGGGTGCTCCAGTGCAGAGGGATCTGGGCATCCTTGTTCATGAGTCACAGAAAACTAGCATGCAGGTACAGCAGATAATAAAACAAGCAAATGAAATGTTGGCTTTTATAGCTAAAGGAATAGAATATAAAAGTAAGGGAGTATTGTTGCAACTATACAAGGCATTGATTAGACCACACCTGGAGCACTGTCCTCAGTTTTGGTTCCCTTATTCCAAGAAAGATGTAGTGGTACTGGAGGTGGCTCAGAGCTTCACTAAATTGATCCCAGAGATAAGGAGTTTGTTGTATGAAGAGAGATTAACAGTTTAGGCCTATACTTTCTATAATTTAGAAGAATGAGGGGAGATCAAATTAAGGTCTTCAAAATGATAGAACATATAGATAAAATAGACGTGGAGTGGATGCTTCCTCTTGTGGGGCATCCTAGGATGACGGGTCATAGTGTTAGGATATGGGGTAGAAAATTTAAAACATCATTGAGGAGAAACGACTTCTCCCAAAAGGTTGAGAATCTGGGGAATTCACTATCCCAAAGAGCAGTGGATGCTGGGACAGTGAGTAAATTTAAGGAGGAGTTACAGATTTTTAATTGGTAATGGGTTGAAGGAGCATACCAGTCATCATTGAACGGCAGAGTAGACTTCGATGGGCCAAATGGCGGAATTCTGCCTCTACATTTTGTGAACGTATGAAGATGGTTGAGCCGAGGACACTACCCTGAGGAACTCTTGCAGAAACGTCCCAAAGCTGAGATGCAACAACCACAATTTTTGTGCCAAATACGACATAAGCCAGCAGAGTTTTCTCATTGATTCCAGTTCTGCTAAGGCTCCTTGATGTCACATTCAGTCAAATGCAGCCTCGACATCAAGGGCAGCCACTCTCACCTCACTCTGGAATTCAGTCTTTTATGTACATTTAAACCAAGACTATAGTGACCTCAGCAGTTGAGTGAATTCAAAGCTAGCACTGGCAGGCAAGTTATTGCTGAGCAAGTACTGTTTAATATAACACATTCCAGCAAATTACTGGTGACTGAGAGCAGACTGATGGAGCAGTAATTAGTTGGATCATATGCCAGCATTGAAACTGGACTGGAATAGGGGTGTGGTAAATTCTGGAGCATAATTCTTTAGTACATTGCTGGAAAGTTGTCAAGGATCCCAGTTTTTGTATTATCTAGAGCTTTGAACGGTTTCTTGATTTCAGGTGGGGTGAATCAAATTGACTAAAACCTCTGATGCTGGAGACCTCTGGCAGGGGCAAAAATGGATCACCCACTCAGCATTTCCACTGAAGGATGCCGAAAATATATTTTTTTTTGCACTGATGAACTAGAGTCCAAAAGGTGCCTTATGTTTAATATTTCTTGGATGGGTCATGGAAAAATTGATTTCTTTCAAGTTTTGTGGAACGAGAACATTACAGCGCAGTACAGGCCTTCGGCCCTCGTTGTTGCGCCGACCTGTGAAACCAATCTGAAGCCCATCTAACCTAAACTATTCCATTATCATCCATATGTTTATCCAATGACCATTTAAATGCCCTTAAAGTTGGCGAGTCTACTATTTTTGCAGGCAGGGCATTCCACGCCCTTACTACTCTCTGAGTAAAGAACCTACCTCTGACATCTGTCCTATATCTATCACCCCTCAATTTAAAGCTATGTCCTCTCGTGCTAGCCATCACCATCTGAGGAAAAAGGCTCCCGCTGTTCACCCTATCTAATCCTCTGATCATCTTGTATGTCTCTATGAAGTCACTTCTTAACCACCTTCTCTCTAACGAAAACAGCCTCAAGTCCCTCAGCCTTTCCTCATAAGACCTTCCCTCCATACCAGGCAACATCCTGGTAAATCTCTTCTGCACCCTTTCCAATGCTTCCACATCCTTCCTATAATGCGGTGACCAGAACTGTACGCAATACTCCAAGTGCGGCTGCACCAGAGTTTTGTACAGCTGCAACGTGACCTCTTGGCTCTGAAACTCAATCCCTCTACCAATAAAACCTAACACACCGTACATCTTCTTAACAACCCTATCAACCTGGGTGGCAACTTTCAGTGATCTATGCACATGGACACAGAGATCTCTCTGCTCATCCACACTACCAAGAATCTTACCATTAGCCC